TCTTGGTGGGGGGGGGGGGTAGGTCAAAGTTTCAGAAAGATCCCACGGTTAGATTCTGAGATATAAGATTTGCAGGAAAAACACACAAAAAAAAAAAATAATAATAATAATCTTAACAGAAACAATAAGCTTTCATATGTAATACATATGAAAGCTTAATAATAATAATAATTTTAACAAAAACAATAGTGTTTCACACAAGCTACGCATTGTGGAACCCTAATTACTGCAACGAATAATCGATAATTTGCAGAAAAATTAAATGTTTGACAGTTATCTCCCTTTACAAGTGATAATTAGATTTTAGATTGCTATCCAGATTAATCATCTTCTTTTGCGCTGCAGTTAGTTTCCAAGTCGCCGAAATCAAAATAAGAAAAACAAGTATTTTGTTGTGTATATTTTAATCATTATATATAATTATAATTGCAGTGGGTTTCCAAGACGACAAAGTTAAAATAAGAAAAACAAGTATTTTGTTGTATATTTTAATCATTATATATAATTAACTACTGTATTATTATAACTGAGCGCCATGGAAAACGCATCACTTAGTTTTTCGTATAACAAAATGATCCTGTAAACATATCTTATTTATTTTGCTTCTTATTGTGAACAATATTCAAATGGGAACACATCTATAACAACACATTTGTACACTTATGGATGTTTAATCTGTAATCAACGGTACAAAGTCAGAGGGGTCAAAACCAAAAGTACGACACAGATGTCAGTAGCGCGTGTGTCCTCCACGGGCACTTACGCACGCTGTGCAGCGACGTCGCGTGGAATTTACCAATGTTTGAAAGAAGGCCAGGGGCAAATTGTTCCATTCTTGGACAAGAGCAGCTTCTAAAGCAGCAATGGTGTGCATCTGTGGTCTCCTATACAGACGGCGTCCAATCTCATCCCAGACATGTTCTATCGGTGCCATATCCGGAGACATGGCTGGCCAGTCCAAGGCATTGATGTTGTTAGCAGCCAGGTAGTCCATACGGTGATGAAATATGAAGCCTCCCCACACCATTACACTTCCCCCGCCCCATCGATTCGTTTCGAAGACGCAGCAGTGTGCAAGACGTTCCCCAAGATGTCTCCACACACGTTGACGGCCATCAGCGTGATAAAGATGAAAGCGACTCTCATCACTGAAGAGCACACTTTGCCAGTCTACTCTTCTCCATGTCTGGTGTCCTTGGGCCCATATTAAACGCCGCTGACGGTGATGACCCCTGAGGATAGCTCCAACATAAGGTCGTCGTGCACGGAGTCCTACTTCTCTTAGACAACGTCTTACGGTGTTGGCACTTACTGGTCCTTGTCTTCCGACAACTGCTGCACCAGTTCGAGTCGCTGGGCGGAATCTGTCACGCAGACGAGTGACCCGGATGTAGCGGTTTTGAGCCTGGGTTGTAACGCGTTGTGGACCAGGACGTTGACGGTCACGTGTTGATCCAGTAACTCGAACACGTTCCACCAACCTTACAATAGTGGACTGATGACAATTGAAGTGTCTGGCAATAACACGTGTAGACATGCCAGCCCTGGACATTCCCATGGCTTCATTCCGTTGATTTTCAGTAAGTCTCGGCATCTCTAGCTCGATTCCTTCACAAGTCCAACAACAAATTACGACAGATTGACGTTTCACAGTTCATGTACTGCACATTAAGTTGAAAACATGTTTTTAAAGGGCTCACACACAATGCTACACGTGAATATTGGCTTTTTCATGTGCATCTCGTGCAATTTTTTTTTTCCACACGGGCCGATATTTTTTGCGTTTGGGAGCATTGTGTGAAACAATAGTTCATAGTATTGCATAATATTATACATACAAAACCACCTAGTAATAAAATATTTGGGGAAAAAAAGTGATGCGTTTTCCATGGCGCTCAGTATACATCCATGTAAGAATGGAAAAATATTAACATAAGTTTAAAATAAGTTTATAAAATTAACAAAGATTTAATACATAGCTTATATGAATAACATAAGAATTGAAATTACGAGTCGTTTGGCAGTTAATTTTATTACCCTTTAAAAACGATATGTATTAAGTATATACAATTCTACGCACGAATGCGCTACCCAACGAGGTAACGAGTCGTTTGGCAGTTAATTTTATTATTTTCAAAATGATATCACATATAAAATGTAAAAAAAAAAAGGAATATGAAAATGTATACCGTGTTGTCAACGCTAAATACGTTGGTTCCATTACTCATATTATAGTTCAAAAGATTCATTAATAATTTATGACTTTCTATGTTTGTTTGGTTCAGAACCATCTCCAAACAAGTGCGATATCTCAACTCTACTAAAAGAGATTCGCACCCTATGAGCAGCGTTTGGACTGCATTGAATAGACAATCCCCTTTACATGGCCCGTAGATTTTACTGCATTGACATTGGTTTCTTTGGTATACTGCCGCAGTAATTTGTCAGCTACTTCGTCAACAAGGAACGTTTTAGGTACTATTGTAAGAGATAAATCGACACGCCTTTCTTTGTGAATTAGCATCCTTCTTTCTGCGACACTTCTCAGTTTGTCAACACTGTGAGTTGCGGCCTGAAAATAAAATAAAAAGCCTTACTTTCACTAATCTGCTTAAACACTTACAGCTCTGTCGGTTTCTTTGATGATGAAGCAAAACCATACTTGATTAGCCAATCAACAATCTTAATCCCGTTGATTAATTGTCAAGTCAGGAGGAATGTATATACGAGTAGAGCATTACACACTTGTAATAAACATGTGCAATTTCGTTAATGTTTAAATAAACATCATTCAAGTAAATATGCAATAACTTAATAATTGACATGAAAAAATAAATAGAAACATATGCGAATTAAAATAATTACAAGCGCTTACCCTTCACTCGACCGAAACTAGTTCATTTCTGGACTAACCTGGTGGTTCAATTTTATTTCAATAATTCGCTGGCGCGTAGGGGTCTTTAACAGTGAGAGGAAACCGGAGAACTCGGAGAAAATCCACGATATTGGACAAAATAAATATAAATATGCAATTTTGTAAATTGAATAATAAAACATCGTCCGTTAAACATGCATTATGCAAGAGCAAAATCTGCTTATTACAAGTCTTTCTTTAGGCCTGAAATGTTATCTAAATTATCAATTAGACATTAATTAACTTATCCAGACCATAATAAACTCTAGATGTCAAGGCTAGCCTTCGATGTTGGCTCGATTAGATTCCTATATGCCGCTAACGGCTATTGATAATTAAATCAATAAAAGCGGTTAATCGAGACTATGCTGTTTATATTAATGATTTTAGTAATGATGACCGAGAATATGCCAAAATTTCACCCGCTTCTATCTCGGCTCATAGTGGATCAATTTGACTGAAATTTTCAGCAAATTACCTTTACACTATCTAGGTTTTAACTATTATAGCGAGAACTGCCACCTCTTTATCTTATCTCCCACAATGTATCTTTAAGTAAGTATGCATTTATTTAATATATACATGAGAAAAAACCCCAAAACCTTCCCCAGTCGTGTTATTCCCAGGAGATAATCAAACTTGTCACCAGAACTTCTGCATATTTCACAAATATATGTTTTTGGGCTGGCAGAAAGGGCTTTTAATTCTACATCTGAAATGCCTTCACAATCTATGTGGTACCATTTCAAACACGTGTCACAAAATATATTTCCATTTTTACACTTCACAGCGCATTTACCGCAATGCCGTTGGACATGTTTTTGTTGTTGACCACGGCGAACGTTATCTGGTGAACGTTATCTCTATTATATGTTTAACATTGATAACACTGTATATGTTACAGTCAATGTCTACAATCAGGCAATGTGTGCAATGACTTTGTAACCCTAACCCGGCAATGTACACATTGACTGGTATATTTCAGACATTGTACACATTGCCTGATTGTAGACATTGACTGTTACATATATACGGATTGATAATCATAGCCGGCGTATTTGTAATAAACAACAACAATATTATAGCCGGCGTCAATCATAATTGACACTTTTTGCTCAATTACTTTATTTACATGAAGGGTTTATATATAACAGAAACAGGCTAAAACCCAATATTGACAAAAAAATATCTCCAAATGTATTATTTGGTAGCAGTTTCATCGAGAGATAATATAAATAAACCAGAACTTGATTATCCAATCAACAATCTTAATCCCGTTGATTAATTGGGGAATGTATATACGAGTAGAACATTACACATTTGTAATAAACATGTGCACTTTCGTTCATTTTAAAATAAAAATAAATATGCAATAACTTAATAGTTGAAAGAAAAAATAAATATAAACATATGCAGCTGTTTTTGTTAAATGACATACCTCCTGACGATACCCATGGAGGGGTTGAAACAGTTATTTATAGTCTGACGGCCATCTTATATACTAATACTATAGTTGTTTATTATATATAATGATTAAAATATACACAACAAAATACTTGTTTTTCTTATTTTAATTTCGTCGACTTGGAAACCAACTGCAACGCAAAAGAAGATGATTAATCTGAATAGCAATCTAACATCTATTTATCGCTTGTAAAGGGTGATAACTGTCAAACATTTAATTTTTCTGCAATATTGTGGTGATATTGAAGTGGTATTGAGGTGGTATTGCGTGGTATTGGGTAGTATTGGGTAAATCGTTCCGCCGCTTTTTGTTGATTTTTGTATACGTTGGGCATCATCCGATTATGTAAGCCCATACTGATTAGGTCTCAATTTCACGAAGCATTCATAGAATTTTCTCAAAATTGTTCGCCTAATTTTAACTAAAATATAGCCCTTTATAAAACTTTTGTCTTTTTAATGTATCAAATACAACAATGCGAAACTTATGTGCTTTTCTGGGACAAAGATATTTCTCATAAACGGTGATTGAAAGTTGGGTAAATTCTTAAATTAAGTCCGAGAATGCTTTGTGAACTCTGCGCCTGATAATCTGCTAACAGTAGAAATGTCTTTGTTGCAGATCCCAGAAATAACTTTACCACACCGTCTTCAAACCCATCACGTACATCTTCCAGAACACGAGGAACATCCCTAACACCATCAGTAGAGGAGGAACAAACAACGCCAAAGAATGGGGATAATAAACACACACCAACTAAACCTATCGGTACATTACTAGATTATCAATGAGAATATGAAAACTAACGTGTCAATTGCCTGTCGTCGTATAACTGTATTAACGTCTTCATGATTCGTACCGTAGTCCACGATCCAAGCGAGTTCATCACTGGATTTACACCGGCCCTTCACCACACACCAGCACTAAATTTACCAATTATGGAAACTTGAAATCGTTTCACATTTAGCATATATAAGCCGCCACATAATCCAGGATGGAATCCCATTGATCCCCTGGTTCAAGATGCTTCGGTTAAAATACATGCATACATATTTTCCTGTATGGCACAAATCCGAAAAAATGTTATCAAAATTCTATATTTCCAGGAGGTAAACCCAATACCAACGCCTACCCTTTTAGAACTAGCAGTATTCTTAGATTTACTACCAAAGGTAAACACTATATCCCTTATTTCTATTTTTAACGGATAACTGTCAAAACATGATATTTCAGGGTTAAGGAATCATAATTCTAAAAAAATTCCTTTACCTTGATTGACGGATTTCTTTTTCAAATTATGAGTGAAGCATTGTGGTCATGAGCGGACGAACCCTCTCGATATTCCGTACCAGTGTTATGGCCCCTTTTATTTTTTTTTAAAAAAAAAAACTTGTGAACGTGAGAGTTGCTACAGATATTAACATATTTTCTTAAAAATTTGATGTGAAGTATTTGAATCCTGAGAGGATGAACCCTATCGATATTATTAAGCGTTCCATAGCTCTTCGTTTCAGAGTTACCCCATCCCCAGCCGTTGACTACAGCAATTTTACTGTCTATACCGATGTTTTAGGGGTTAAGCAAATCCATTAAAACCAACCACTATGGAAAACGCACGATAGCATCGTGATATATAAGATGGTCGCCAAATAGCCAGCAAACCATATATACAGAGAGAAATGGGGTTTAACGTCCACTCGACACAAAGTAGGTCATTTCGGGACTAACATATGGTTCAATTTTATTTCCATAATTCACTTGCGCGTAGGGGTCTTTAGCAGTGGGAGGAAACCGGAGGACCCGGAGAAAACCCATGAGGTTGGACAGGCGCCCCTACTCCTTGTCACGTACACCGGGGAATCGAAACCACGCCAGTTGACTCAATGACAGACTTTATGATACAGCGCGCACGTGCTAACCATTCAGCCATCACCCCCCCCCCCCCAACCATATAAACTGTCATAACGTTTTCACATAAGCATGCTAGAACTGTCATTTGGTATCTAAACATAGGTTATTGGTGTCGACCTGTCCATTGTACCATTCGTCCAATGGAAGCTGATCACCATTTACACAACTTGCTGAAATATACTTACATGGGAGTTATTAGCCCCAGGATTACACACTATTGACATCTATCGACTGCAGATTTAATCCTATATTGGTACCGTTGGCACGTTAGCTAGCATGTACTTTCGTTTGTGGTCATGTTGTAGCCAGGGGAAAAATCCCAGTCAGAAAAAACCCATTAAGATGCTATCATTATTCTCTTAAATATCCGTTGGTGGGTAATTAGGTAAGTAAAACGTATGAATGCTAATACGAAGTGGCTGTGTGTTGCATCATTGTCAATGGCGATGATCAAAGCATTCAAGGGTCTTCACTCGCCAGGTAAGGGTTTTTTCTTGCGATGAAAGCACGAATAATTTTTGCAAGAACTATCTAGTGACCATATAACGATTCGTCATATGATATTGTCTCGATGGGAGAGGGGTGGGGTCTATCTCTCATTTTGTCGGTCCATAAAGATTCTGTCATAGTGGTATTTCACTTCAACATTGTGCAACCCGACAATACATCACGACACTTTAGCCCCACAAATACATTTTCACCCGACCCCACGACATTAAAAATGTCGTAATGTCGCGTAAAAAAATGTATTGTCGGGCTAAAATGTTGTGATGTATTGTCGGGTTGTCGGCCATCTTCCTCTCAATATACAGTATGATTATGTACACTGATCCGGGTGTTGGTCAAGAAAGTTCCCCAGGATTTTGCAGTGTGGTTTCTCCCTGTCGGTAGTACAGAACGAAGGGCCTGGCAAAGAACATTGTCTAGTTGTGCAGATGGGACAAAACACAAGCCCGTGTACATTGGCGTACTCATAAAAAACCTTCACAGTTGGAATTCAATGGAGGAATGCCACTGTCCCTAGAAAATTTCTGCACAGTAGGACGTTAAACCTCATTTCATTTCATTTAATTTTCCTACTTTTTGCAGCAATCGGACTATGGAAGATAGGCATACGCTATGCAGAGTTCTGTGACGGAAATTTTCTATTGACAATGGCATTTCGTCATCGAATTCCAAATGTAAAGGGTTCTTTTATGTGCACCCCATACTGTGACAGTATTGTGTCTTTATATCAGGTTCAGATGACAAGACTAGTTTAACATCTCATAATACTTTTATTCTTCTTCTAACATATTATATACAAAACTTAAGACTCGTTTAACTAATTAACTCGTGTTGGGGGAGCCATGTCCTAGCTTGGCATAAATGTGCCAACTCTCGGGCGCTCTCCCTCGTTCCGTCTCGTGCCGAACCGAGGCGCCCACGGCCTCAGCTCTCGTGTCCTGGCTGGACCCGACTGTCGATTCGTTTCTTCTCTGACCTTATAAATCCTTCCAGACAAAGGAATCTTATTAGACATCTGGCTGATGTATCATGTATCATATCAGGTTTAACATTTGCTTATCACCAAAGGAAGTTTGAATAAGACATGCCAACAAGGTAAGGTTAACTAATCGTTACATAATCACATAGTCCAAGAACTCCAGGGATGTCGATAGTTGGCAGGAACATCAGATAATTTGTGATTATGTAACATACCTTCCCTTTTTTTTGAATAAAGTTATGAATTATATGAAATAACTTTTCAAGACCATTACAAAATTAAATATAAATGGAGTCGATGGTAACTACCCTAATTAATATATAAACAAAAATACGAAAAATAACAATACACTGATTAAAAGTTATATGAACAACAAAAATGTAAATGGCAAAAGAATAAAACACTGGTTGAGAAGTAATAAAACACTGGTTGAAAAGTACACAAATATATACTAAAGTGTTCATACACGCGAGACATTGAAATCACATAATTATGTCGCAGATGATTTTACTGTTTACACACACGCCTTCCAGGAATCGCATATATACCCAGCCAAATTAAAAACTTGACACTCGGGATTTTTGGGACTAGATTTTTAATATTTGGTTGAAGACAACTATTTTAGTGTTATGTTGTGTACAGGCGACCTTGACATCAACAGAAAGCAAGAATACGTCTCGCCGAAAGTCCTTGACATTGATAACGTTCGTGATGTCACAGTACCCCCAAAATGAAATTCACAGACTTGGAGAACAATCGGAATAAAGTGTTTAGTAACGGTTGTGGCCTCCTCTAGCGTCTCGAACTGCCACACAATGTCTTCTCATGGATCTCAGAACATTAGTAAACACTACCCGAGGAAGACGTCGCCACTGCTCAGCAAGAGCATGTTGAAGGTCCTGCAACGTCAGTGGTGGATTCACTTGCTGACGAACACGTCGACCCAGTTCGTTCCAGATGTGTTCAATAGGATTAAGGTCGGGGCTAAGCGACGGCCAATCCAGGACTTGGACACCGGCATTTCTTAAAAAATTCTGGGTAGCAATTGCTGTATGGGATCGAGCATTGTCTTGTTGAAACGTTAGTCCAGGCCCATGTCTCTGCATAAACGGAAGAAGAACAGGTTGCAAAATCTGATCTGGACAGCATTTAAGTTCCCTTGGACAACAACAAGAGGAGAACGTCCATGTGCACAAAAAGAACCCCAAACCATGACGCTGCCGCCACCAAATCGGTCAACTTCTCTGACGCATACTTGAGCGTAACGTTCACCTCGTCTGCGGTACACTCGGATCCTGCCATCGGCAAATCTCAAAGTGAATCGAGATTCGTCACTAAAGACAACCGAATTCCACTGTCTTTGAGTAAATCTTATGTGTCTTGTGGCCCACACAAGTCGGTTACGGCGATGCAGAGGTGTCAATATTGGTCCATTATAGGGCCTCCGAGCTCGAAGACCAGCAGCCTGCAAACGATTTCGAACAGTTTGTGCAGTTACCCTTCCACCAAACATCTCTCTACTTGTGGAGGTTGCAGTGACAAATCTGTTTCTAAGATGACGTAATCGTATTGCTTGATCTTCCTGGAGTGACGTCACACGTGGCAATAGTTCCAGTTTGAAGCACTCTCATTCTAAGATTAATTATTGTCTGGCGTGACCAATTAAAGGCCCTTGCAACAGTGACCACAGACAGACCAGCATAGAGCCTACCTATAGCGCGTAGACGTTCTACATTTGAAAGGCGCGGCATTTTCTAACAAAGATGAAAATAACAATTTTAATTTGTTTTTCCAGTTCAAGTTACGTGTACGTGTTCAGTTTAACAAACTTGCATCGATTGATCTCACGAGTTTGTGTTTGCACGTGTTTTTCATGTTTTTCATCTTTATATGCTCAAAAGTCACGTGATCCATGTGACTTTACAATTTTATGAAATTAAAGGCTTCTTACTACTTACTATCGTAAGAAACACTTTAAAATTTATTTGACTTTCCAGAAAAAATTTGTTGAAATTCATCAGTATCAAGTTACTAAGTATAACAAAACCACTGTAAAACTATTCTAATGTTCGCACACAATCACTAATAATTATAAAAAACAAAAAAAAACCCACTGTAAAACTATTCTAATGTTCGCACACACTCGAAGATACAAATTCATTTTTTTCTTCTTCCTTTATTCCGTCGTCTTCTTCTTGTATAAGTTTTCCGTAATAGCAAGGGGTCGGTGTTTTCCGGTAGTCTTATCTTTTCCATACCGCCTTGTCGGAACGGTGCGTTATGACATGTGCTATGAAGAGTATTATAACTGCCACCCATGCGAAAGTTTTATCATCTGTTTATCATATCATGGAGTGAACTTAATTAATAGTTAATCAAATAAGCAAGTGGAACAGACTTAAGTTAGCTATGTAATGATATTTACATTATTATTTACATGGACAATTAAAATTAGGATGTCACATTGTTTTATCTCGAGATAAAGAATAATGAATGATCTGAACACATTTCACCAATCTTCAATAAGATATTTTGAAAGAACTTATCAAAATTAATAACGGTTTATCTCTATAATTTTTAAACACAACACAAAAAAACCCAATACGTTCGCTCTACTTTAAGCGCGGGCTCAATTTCTATTGAGAATATAAATAAAATCTCTCCCGAACTTTCGGGGCATCCCATTAATATCTGGGGTACTACGTCAAAAACAAAACACAAATAAAATCTCTCGCGTAAATATCGGGCCATCCCATTAATATCTGGGGTATCACAAATAAAGATCTCTCCCGTAAATATCGGGGCATCCCATTAACATTTGGGGTACTACGTTAAACACGAATAAAATCTCTCCCGTAAATATCGAGCCATCCCATTAACATTTGGGGTAATATACACGTATAGACAAAACAAATAAAAATCTTAAGATAAACGCGTTTAATACTTTGTGAATGTTATTGGGTTAAATTTCAAATTACGATACTGTTAACCCAATTCTAGTTAAACAATCACAAAACATTTTACATCTCGATATTAACCTGTTAATACTAATTTTAAATGCCAAAATATGTGTTAAAAAAAACCCAATTATAATCTATAACCTTTTAAAAACAACATGACCCATTGTAAAACAAACAATATATATACAATTTTGTTTTAGTCATTTTCCTACAAATAGTTAAGGACTGTTCCACTACTAGCTTGAAAGGCAATATATTAAATTTAGTAACTACACCATGATATTTAATACAGCGTGATGATAAACTGCTGATTTCCCAGTTAAATTATAATACATAGCATTAATGTCATTGTTACCGTAGCCATGGTAGGATTAGAAAAAGACTTACCCGTGAAGACTAATAGCTGTGGCCTGTGGTCTTCTAGTGGTTTAGGACTTTACACGTTGCTCTGGTCTACGGCGCCAATTAATATGTGACAGTATTGTGTCTTTAAAGCAGGTTCAGATGACAAGACTAGTTTAACATCTCATAATACTTTTATTCTTCTACTAACATATTATATACATAAATGTGCCAACTCTCGGGCGCTCTCAATCGTTCCGTCTCGTGCCGAGCCGAGGCGCCCACGGCCTCAGCTTTCGTGTCCTGGCCGGACCCGACTGTCGATTCATTTCTTCTCTGAGCTTATAAATCCTTCCAGACAAAGGAATCTTATTAGACATCTGGCTGATGTATCATGTATCATATCAGGTTTAACATTTGCTTATCACCAAAGAAAGTTTGAATAAGACATGCCAACAAGGTAAGGTTAACTAATCGTTACATAATCACAGACCAAGAACTCCAGGGATGTCGATAGCGATCAGGTGTCAAGTTGGCAGGAAGCGTCTATAACATCAGATAATCTGTGATTATGTAACAGTACACATGAGCCTGTGTTTTGTCCCGTCTACACAACTAGACACTATTCGTTGCCTGAACGTTTGTCCTGCACTACCGACAGGCAGAAACCACCCTACAAAATCCCGGGGAACTTTTTTGACCAACACCAGGATCAGTGTAAATAATCATACCGTACAGGATGATGGCCGACATCACGACATTTTAATACGACATCTTTACGCGACATTACGACATTTTACGACACTGTACATTGTGTGGAAGATGGGCGACAACCCGACATCACGACATTTGAACCCGACAATACGACATTTTTACGCGACATTTTTTTTTTTTTAAACAATATTTTTATTCAGGTTGTCAGAATGGGATTGGGGAACAGGCTTAGCCTATGTAAAACCCCCTCCATGACATTTCTAATGTGTCCAATAGATGGAACTTCTCCTTTCTCTCTAATGTCTGTCACTTTATTCTTCCACGACTCTATGAATGGGTCTGGTAAGCGCTTTATTAAAGTACGAAGGTTCTCAGTGGCATTAACGTCGGCCTCATAATGTATCTGTTTAAGCGTGGCTAAGCAAGCGATAATGGCCATCGATAATTCTCTGAGTGTATTTCTATCACCAGTTTGTGGATATATGTTCTGACTATAACACTTTGTTGGCCAAATTCTTCCTTCAACGTCTTGTTAACATGTTTTTTCAAGGTGGGTGTGACGCACTGGAGTCGTGAGGGGACGAACCGTATCGACAGTCAAAATCCTCGTCAAGATGATAAGAGGCTACAATCTGTAAAGGATTTGTTTCAAATCTGTTGTGAATAATTGTGGTCATGGAAGGACGAACTCTATCTATATCCAGTGATCTGTAACTTTTCATCCCAGAGTTACACTCTTTACCGAAAACCTTGTGAACGCGATAGAGTAACAGTTTTAAACATATTTTTGTCAAGCATGTACACACGACAGAGATTCGATTTCTTGAAGAATTTTTTGATACTTATCAACTTTGGTCATCATCCAAGTTTTTCTTTCAGATAAGCTTCTGTTGAGACCTAGTTGCTGTGCGATTTCCATTTGGGTCATGAGAGAAAGTACCCTATTAATATTCATCTTTCCGTTCGGCAGTTTTACCGGAATATTTTAAAATATGGTGTGAACCATTGTGGTCATAAGAGGATGGGTTGTTTTGCGAGTTTTCGTTTGAGAGTTAACCCCCTCCCCCCACCCTCTTTGCCCAAAACCTTGTGAACGCGGTAGATGCTATAGTTTTTAACGGTTTTGTTTTCAAATTTGGTGTGAAGCATTGTGCTCTTGGGAGGGCGAGCCCTATCGATATTCAGCGTTCAGTTTCGCATTGTGGTCCTGAGGACAAACACTATCGATATTGAGCTTTTGGCGACATTCCGTTTTGGATTTACCTCTTACTTTGCTGAAAACATTGTGAACGCGATATTTGTGTGAAACATTCGTGTCATTATCCCTCTTGTCGTGAACCTAAAAAACGTGATGACGCTACAGTTTTACTGTTTTGTTTACAGAAAGCACGAGAAAGAATGTTGATAACACAGAAAGTAAGAACCTTATGTTATATTTTTAAAGGTATCATTTTGTGGCCAAATGCATGAATTAACGACATTGACTGTGGATTAAAACATTTTGCCAGGGGACACTCTGCTTTTCGGGCATCGATTATTATTTGTGAATGTAATAGCACGGGTCTGATTGATTGATTGGATTTCAGGCCGGCATAGTGTGTGATGTCTGTTGCATAAAAAATATTGGACCACTTTGAAGTTGCTTTCCATACCGCCCCTCATCACCACCCCACTCCCGGATGACCGTGGCTCTAATGTCTGTTTGGAATTAAGGTCAGCCACCCAAATTAGGCTATATTTGACCACACGGAAGTTGCTGTTTGAGTAGCAGGAAAACGCGTTTGCGGCCGTTAAATTTCAAAATCTTATCGCGGGGGCAGAGATACCAACACGCCGAACCACCTGTTATAAATGCTACGGCAGATGGACTGTCTCGGTTGGTGAAATCGTATTCTTTCATTGCCATAACTGTCTTTTGATGGATATCCTACCAATATTAGGTAGATTATCACGTTATTAGTTCTACAATAAACGCCGGGGTGACTTCATCAATCGAGGAGATTGAAAATTTAACACAGCAAATCTGGGATGAACTAGATGCCTTTGGCAGTAAACTATTACAGAAATCGTGTACCAACGTCTATCACAAATCTGCCGAAGGGATTCGATTTATCAATCATTTGATTTCATCCCCAACACTAACTTCGTTTTTCTAGCAAAGATTTATCCACCCTTAACTCTCTGGATTTTCTGGACTTACTTTTAAATCTTACCAACTATGCAAATGATATATCTATTAGACAATATTTTATTGCACAATTAGAATTCGTTTGTGAATTTTTTTCTGGGCTTCTGGATAATCTCGAGTTAAAGAGTGAATTTTGCCAAGTGAAAACAGTTATCCGAGTTTCTGGGTGAGAGAGTCTGCTTTCTGAAATGAAGGAATTATTTCCCCAGTTTGCCAAGTTGGGAGCCATTGTACTTGTTATACCAGTTCCGAGTATTCACGCCAAACGGGGATTTAGTTGTCAAAATAGGATAAAAAGCCAACTTATGAGTCATGCAGATTATTTGATGTTAATATCAATTGTGATAGTACCAAAGAATTTAAGAATAAAGCTGGGTGTTATTTTCACGATAATGTTCAATGACTTTGACCTGGTAGGGTGTTGATCGTAGTTGGGAACCAAAAAATTACGAACACTACACCGATTTCCGTCGGTTGAAATGACGATTATCTATCACAAGCAGCGGGTTTATTACCATCACAAGTGATATATACAATGTCGCCTGTTGCGACCGGTGGAGAAGAAGGCCTTTGTCGGTTAGGGGGTTAGCCCTTTCACTGTGGGGATGAATAGTAAGACACCGGTATCTAATTTGAAGCCATGTTGCTGAAGGAGTTGGTTGTCAAGAAGATCCTTAAAGGCTCTCGCAGGATCAACTCGGATGCTCCTGTTGCTGAAGGAGTTGGTCGTCAAGAAGACCCTTAAAGGCTGTCGCAGGATCAACTCGGATGCTAACGGTGGCGTCGAGAGATATCATTGCAATGTATAATTGTATGAGTGCGGAACGAAGGGTAGCCTTTTGTTCATCGTTTATAATGCATGAAGTAGTGTATGACGTGACTGTCTCTCGGAGAATAAGTACACATTGGCGATTTTGTTTCATAACATCAGCGGCAAATGTTAATCCTATTCGCTCAGGAGGATCAGATGTCTTAATGGGTCGTCTTGGAACATGCCATATGTATTCCTTATAGCCTAAGGACGGCAACTATTGATTTTGGTACATGTGCCGAATCCCAGGGGCAGAGCCACACCCGATTATACAGTTTATCGTATACAGACCGCAATTCTGAATGGATCATCTTGGAACTTGGCATATGTATTTCTTGTAGCCCAAGGACGGCAACTATTGGTTTGACTTTGGTGCATGATCCGACCCCCTTGGGCAGTAAATATTTTGTCGGTAAATACTCTAAAGGTTGCAATTATTAACATATTTTGTTCCATTTCGACATGTTCCATCATAGGGTTCTACCTCGGGGCAGGGCCATGCCAAGTTTTATGGTTTTTTTGTCTACAGGCTGGAATTCCGAATTCGCATATTTATTCCTTATACCGTAAGGGCAGCAACTATTTATTTTTGTGCATGCCCCAACCCCCAGGGTCGGTGTCACACCCACTTTTTTGTTAATATTTAGTCTGTAAATTTGGCAAAACAAGCCCAACGCTTTGCCTCTTGTAACATTACAGTCGTTGCAGCCATTTCATGTTTCATTCTCTTTATTTTAAAAAGTGCCATATCAATCAAAGCAGGAATGTGGATGTATATTGCAGCGGTAGCGATGCTCTCGTTTACAGTGCGTTGAAGTAAAATTTGGTTCCCTCGCTTTAAATGACATATATACTATTCAAAAAAAGTAGGGGATATTTGATTTTTAAGTGTTCTTAAAGTCACCTAATGAAACTGACGAAGAAACAAATGACAAAATGAAATGAAGTTCACATTCATCGATTTATTCCAAATGATCGTTAGACTAAGTAAGGCACAGACTGACCATTATAAGGGTAAAATGATACGCGGGGTCAAACAGCAAAGTTACCACAGCATCACAACCAAGTCAGTAACGGGTAAATCCTCCTCTGTTTGCCAAACAAGCATTGATCCGACGTGGCATACTCCTAATGAGACGTCTAAGGTCATTTTGGTCCAGATTGTCCCATTCCTGTTGCAACGCAGCAGCAAGTTCTTGGACATTGGCAGGACGTTGTTGACGTTGACGTAACCTCTGTCCAAGCATGTCCCAGACATGCTCGATGGGGGAGAGGTCGGGACTCAGTGCTGGCCAAGGTAATGTGGTGATGTTCTGTTGTTGGAGGTAACCTGTAACGATCCTGGCCCTGTGACATCTTGCGTTGTCATCCTGGAAGATGAAACGGCGGCCATGACGTCGTGCGAACGGCACAACATGGACTGCCAAGATGTTGTCCCGGTAGTACTGGCCTGTAACACGCCCTGCAACAACATGTAAAGCCGTTCTTCCAGCAACAGTGATGCCTCCCCACACCATAACAGAACCACCCCCAAATCGATCATGTCTGATGACGTTAACGTCTTGGAAGCGCTCGTTTCGACGACGCCACACCCTCCTACGTCTGTCCAAAAAATCAACAGTGAACCTTGACTCATCTGAAAACATCACATTGCTCCAGCGTCGATTATCCCAGTGTTGACGATTCCTACACCAACGACGTCTTGCCTGAATGTGATGATCTCTCAAACAAGGGATCACGCGAGGACGTCGGGCGCGAAGGTGACCCCTATGCAGTCGATTCCGAATCGTCTGGCCACTCACTCTCACACCAGTGTCTGTTTGAAGACGAGCGCTGATCTGATTTGCTGTGATGACACGATTTCTCAAGGCCAAGGTACGGATAAATCGATCCTGGGATTGAGTTGTCGCCCTTGGTCGACCTGAGCGTGGTCTGTCCTGTACAGATTGTGTATCACGGTATCTGGACCATAGCCTGCTTATGACAGACTGAGAAACATTCATCGTCCGCGCCACAACCGCCTGTGTTGTGCCGATCTGTAGCATGCCAAGGGCACGTAACCTTTCATTTTGGGTAAGCCGACGCATATCAAAATTTGTTTTCTGGTCACTAAAACAATTAAACTGATGTTTCCACCCTGGAATTCAATGCCACAATGACTGTAACATTCAAAGTCAGAGTCGTGCAAATCTTGGGTTGGACCCCCATGATGATCCCAAGCATCACCTGCATTCCATGCGGTAGCTATTGGTGCGTTTGGGCGTCACATGTAACTGGAAATGTTTCTTCTGTTAGGTTCTATAGTGACTTTTTTCGTAGTCATTTGCATATTTTAGTATTATGCCCCCAAAATCAAATATCCCCTACTTTTTTTGAATAGTATATTTCCTAGCACACACTATGAGTTTGCAATTGTTGCAATATGTATGTTTGTTTCTATTTTTAGGGAGTACTGTGAATTGGGACAATTATGGTAGTAAGTATTCTCTTTATTTATATGCACGACTAGAATTAAAAGACGGTAACTTCTTCTCGTACATAACATATCATATCATCTCTTGGCTTTACATGATTTCGAGATGTGTTTTGTGCACTTTTTCATTATATTATAGTTTAATAAATTAATGTAGATTTCCTTGCTTTTTATTAAACCCCCGTTCTGAATTATAAGACAAAATACGGTAATACCAATCGTAAAATATCATTCACTTACGAACAACGTTTAAATACTCTGTCTATTCTTTTTCAGACAACGGCGCTGCCATCGTATCCTATGCCTTATTTTTACTAGTTGTCTCTACACTGATAGCTGTCATGTTCAGAAACTAAGAAATATTATTTGTCGAAGAAAAACACAGTGCTACAGTGAAATTAATTTAAATCAAATGTAATATGCATAATTTGTTATATAAAGCAAACAATGTTCTCAATCTGGTAGTACAGCAAGTAGAGTTTCTCACTTTCGGTTTCATTGTATAGCTGGGATAGTTAATTTTAAATGCGCTGTCAGGATAATAATTCACATTGCTGAAATAAATTACTATTTTCTTTCTTAACTTAGATTTTACCATTGGTTATGACTCAATGTAACACCCAGTATCGTCGTTTGATTGCAGCGTTAGATTTTCAACTATATCAAAAGAAAGCGGCATATACTCAGTCATGTTATATAGTTCATCAAGTACTTATATTTTTGTTTCCAATGATTATCTGTTAAAGTGGAATCCGTCTATTTAATAGCCATCTTGATAAACAAAAATGGTCTGTCATAGATACCCAAGCGGAGTTACTATCTGCGTTTGTTGTTTATTAATTACAATGCCAGTGTATATCATGCGTCTTGTCCGCGGGTTTTGTCTTATGGGTTTTGTTTATGTGTGGTGAGGTCCTACGCTTACTATTAGATAGCATGACTCCAACTAGTAATAATCTCCTCGTTTTCGTACGTGTTTTCTGTAGTTCGTGTCTTTTTACTTCCTGGTCCGTCCGCCTCAAAATCATGAATATTCACCAAAAACTGGCATGTAAATGGAAACTCGAATACTCTTCTTCAATTATAAACCAAAAAGTCGACAAAAAATGCCATGAAAAAGTGGGAAAAAGGAAGAATTGCTATAAATGGGAGAAGTACATAAGAAATCGGAGGAAACATTTACTAGCGTTAGTCTATATACCTTTTATTTTAAGTTTTATTTTGATATTCAATGTAAGAAAAGAAAGTTTTGGCACATTGAAATCAGGAGAAGCAAATATTAGTCTTAGTTGATATAGATGTAACCCCAACTAATTCAACTTGGTTTCTGTCGTTTTGAAGTACCGTTTAAATTCAGCTATATTATTTGGACATCCAAAATAATAAAGGTGACCTAGACGATACACAATGCTAAGTTCTTTGCAGCTTAAAAATAGGTCATTATAGGACCCTTGGAGGGAAATTCATTTTAGCTTTGGGAGGACGGGGTGAGGGCGAGTATGGCTAGCCAAGATGGGATAATTTTTAAAATAAGGAACAATATTCCCAAATTATTTAAATTATAAATTGACCGTAAGAGTTAAGGAACTATGTTACTATGGTATTTATTAGCAAAAAGGCACCCTCCGGTCTAAATTAGTTTAAGCATCGAATGCAGTATTGTGGCGTCCGATTCGGTCACTCTATCGGCTACTCTTAATGCAATGGAAAGGGCGGGTGTGCTCAACACTGGACGGGAATCCAAGGGATGTGGTTTTTCCGTCTACCCTCGAACCACAGCTACTCTTCGGAGAAAACGGGGGCAATTGTCAACTCAAAAGTAACTATACTCATATACTGCCAGACACTTTACCCTGAATTTATGTTAATGTCTTGACGTTTAAAAATCCCCAAATTCTCTCTTTCTAGTTTCAATAAGATAAAAACACAAGATAATCCAGGTGATACTTATATATAAAATTATAAAAGCATCAAGTAATAACAACAATAATATTAACAAAAACAATCCAGGTGATACTTTATATATAAAATTATAAAAGCATCAAGTAATAACAACAATAATATACTCTTCAAAAAAATTGTAGTGGGGGATATTGAAATGCAAATACCTATGCAGGTTATGATATGATAAATAGTCATGGACACTTGACATGCTTTGAGAGTACTAATCTATTGAAATTATATATTGGTTTAATAAAACAGTTCAGAAACTCTTTTTACGTTCAGAACTACATTGGTTTATCAATTCATCTTGTACACATTACTTGAAATAGGTTGTATAAATATCGCTATAAAATTCTGTTCTAGTCCATTTAATAAATGGGAATTTATATACCCACCCCCTCCCCATTCACATTTCATGAAAGCATTTGAATGCATTCTTTTTTTCCGGCTTGAACATATCTGAATAAAGCTCATAGCCCCCTTGTATGCAATTATTTCATGATTCGCAGTCTTTCTTCATCTAAGCTTTGTTGTGCAATTAAAGTGGTTTCAGTGGGCATTACCGTTCTTATTAAGAAATAAGAAAATAAATTTAAAGAAAAAATGGAAATGTTTGATTTATTTTCTAAAATAGCTTAATGATATTTCTTCCACGAATCTTGTTTAATCTGTATGAATTAATAAAAGGTTTTATTTCATCCTTGATATCTGGAACTGAAAAAATATTTACAATATATTAAAAATTTATGGTCCCTCGCCTTTCGAAAAAAGCAGGAACTGTATAAATGGGTCTGTCCGTCCGTCTGTCTGCCGGTCCGTCCGTCACACTTTTTGAGACACACTAACTCTGCTTCTAACCGATCTAGAGTGTTCAAACTTGGTATAGGTGTTTATTAGGTAACTGCCTTGATGGAGTTCGAAGATGTAAATTGTCATCCTAGACTAAGCAGAGATAAGCAATTTGAATGGTTGATGCTTTGGGACACGATAACTTTGGTTCTAATTAAGTGAGAGTGACAAAACTTGGTGCATAGTTTCATTATATCAATACCCCGACTAAGTTCAATATTAATGCCCAGGGTAAGCAGAGCGATAAGCAATTTGCTTTGTCGAGACTTTGGAGCTCGATAACTTTGATTCTATTTGAGGGATAGAGTTGAAACTTCATGTATAGTTTCATTACATCAATACCTTAACTAAGTTCGATGATTAGCATTTCTGCTTAGGCTAACAAGAGACATCAATCTGATTGGTCGAGACTTCGGGACAAAATAACTCTCCTTCTAATTGAGGTAGAATGTTCAACTTGGTGTAGGTGTTTATTAGATGAATGCCTTGACAGTGTCCGATCATGTGCATTTTCCACTAAGGCTAAGCAGTTTGATTGGTTGAGACTTTGGAACACGATTACTTCGGTTCTTATTGGGCGAGAGTGATGAAACTCAGAATATAGATGCATTATATCAATACCTTGACTAAGTTCGATGGTAATAATTTTCTGTTTAGACTAAGTAGCGGTAATCAATTTGATTGGTCAAGACTTTGGAAAATATCAACTCTGTTTTTAGTTGAGACAGGATATTTAAACTTGGTGTAGATGTTCATTAGGTGAATGTCTTGACTGAGTTCATTGAATAACATTTTCCGCTAAAGGTAAGCAGAGCTAAGCAATTTCATTGGTCGATGCTTTGGGGCAAGATAACAATGATGGAGAATGACAAAACATTTTCTGCTTAGACTAAGTATAGATAATCAGTTTGATTGCTCGATACTTTTCAAAAAAATACATGTGCAATTATTTGATATGTACCATCTATTTATATTGGGATTGCAGTGGGGACATCAGTCTCACTCTTGCTTGTTTAAATTAGGCCTATATTATTTCAATTAGGCCTATATTATTTCATTTCAATAAGGCCTATATTATTTCAATTTAAAAAAAAAAATGATGAAAGCTCGCTGTTGTCGGTTTTTAAAAAGTGAGTCACAGCAGTTGAACTTTACATATCCATATTATCGAGATAGAGATTTTCGACAAGGGCAACTTGACGTACTAATACGCAGAATATTGGTTGTATCAAGATCAATAAAATTAGGCCACCAAAAATATATTCTTATCTCTAAAATTGATTCTAATTCTTGATATCACCACCCCGGTTATGACATATTTAAGAAATTAATTACCGGTACAAGAAAATCCTGATACCACTAGGCCTAATGCAAAACACACCGCGAGATCAGACAAAACCGGAAGTAGTCAACCCACCCTTCTCCCCGTTTCTCAACATAACGTCGAGAATTCTGGAGACGGTAATCATACGGTATTATATAGGTAATTATTCGTAGGCTAGCGGAAATTAAACTTTTTATGGTTGGTCGCGTATTCATAATTATAGTCATGAATTACATGTGACCAGGAATTGGCCAATGTGTGACTAAAATATCAAAATAAACTATAATGAATCTTCGTGCGATCAAAATATTTAAACTATATTCTTTTATCTTCATAGGTGTACAAATTAAAGAAAGGGAATTGTACATAATATACGTCACAAGTAATTTTAATATGTTCGAAGTATAAGCCAACTGCTTTTATATTTTTCCCTCAAGGCATAACTTATCATAACTGCCCCTTGGCGAATGAGGCGTATCTTATCCGTGGGCAATAGCTGTTATAAAGAAAGCTCACAGTAATGCGAGAGGACCCCGGGATTGACCAAATGACTATTGCCAAAACAGTACGTGTCTGGATAATAACAGACCAGGCTTATTCTAAGATGAGTATGTTTTAAAAATAAGATGTTTTGAAGATTTACTAAGCTATATATTACACCCTAGATGTACTGTTATCTTAAACATTTACTGTTATTGTCCTCTCGCGTGGACCCAAGCAGTATGTGCCCACACTATATTGTGGGCGTATAAAAAGGGTTCGGTCCAATTAAAATTATATAGTTTCCTTTTTATAGTTTAATTTTTTTAATTGTAAAATTTGGAATATGGAATGAAATCGAACGCAAAAACGAATCACATCGAGTTTCAAATTTCAACCCCTATATCCTGTACTGATTGATTATTGTTTATATATACTCTTCAAAAAAAGTAGGGGATATTGAAATGCAAATACCTATGCAGGTTGTGATTTGATAAATAGTCATGGACACTTGACATGCTTTGAGAGTATGTTCACAGATGAAGAATTTATCGCCCCAACAGAACCACTGAGCTGCATGTGCGACACGCAATAGCGCCATACACGTGGGAGGGGTTCATTGTCAAATTTGACACTTCCAGGAAGAGTTGATGAAAACTGCCGCTTGCTGGTTTATCCTATCCATGTTTGCTTTCCTATCGGTTCTTGCATAAGATTTACTGTTTAGCGTATTATTGCTTTAGTGTGTTACGTTTAATTTGATCGGGAGACGTGTCCGTCGACGTCAACGTCAACCGACGTGGCACTGCAAGAGGAGTGGGTCAGATTGACCCAAATCGTGATTGGACGGTTGATTAGGAGTATGCCCCGACGAATTGCTGAATGTCTGACGATTGGTGGAGCAATTACTCATAATTAAGACAAAAATCAAAAACGTCCATTTTCACTTTTGACAGTGTATCTCTTTGCGAATAAAATGGGGCCGT